AGTTATATAGAGTTATATAGAGTTATATAGAGTTATATAGAGTTATATAGAGTTATATAGAGTTATATAGAGTTATATAGAGTTATATAGAGTTATATAGAGTTATATAGAGTTATATAGAGTTATATAGAGTTATATAGAGTTATATAGAGTTATATAGAGTTATATAGAGTTATATAGAGTTATATAGAGTTATATAGAGTTATATAGAGTTATATAGAGTTATATAGAGTTATATAGAGTTATATAGAGTTATATAGAGTTATATAGAGTTATATAGAGTTATATAGAGTTATATAGAGTTATATAGAGTTATATAGAGTTATATAGAGTTATATAGAGTTATATAGAGTTATATAGAGTTATATAGAGTTATATAGAGTTATATAGAGTTATATAGAGTTATATAGAGTTATATAGAGTTATATAGAGTTATATAGAGTTATATAGAGTTATATAGAGTTACCTCTTCTTTGAGGTTCTTTTCTTTGCCGACCGGTCGGCTTCTTTGCGTTTCTCTATTTTCATTTAAATTAATTAAATAAATAAGATTTTTCCAATCATTTAGGCTCATTCAGGTTCCTTCATTCAGGTTTAAGCTTTCAGAGAAGTTCATCGTGGAAGATCAGAATGGTTGTGATGTCCCGCTACGTTCGTTCATTCAGTGGCAAAGAATGCACGCCTGGCTGGGGTTCGTTTTATTGTTTCTTTGCGGTTCCTTTCTTTGCCAGTTGGCTGGCTTTTCCGGCTGGCTCGATTTTCTATTTTCATTTAAATTAAATCAAATAAAATTTTTTCATTTTATTTATTTTATCCAGGCTGAAGCTTCCAGAGGAGTTCATCATGGAATGTGTCAGGCTACGTTCACTCATTCAGTGGCAATGAATACACGCCTGGCTAGGATACGTTTTATTCTTTTTCTCAGTTTTTATCTGTAATTTAACATTAAGTAAGAATGCTCACACGCACACACACACACAATTACATTACGTAGCTATATAGGTAGGTTAGAATAGCGTAATTTAATTGTAGGTAGGATAGATAGGAAGCATCCAACACTAATGTAGTAGAATAGGTAGGCGCGTAGGTTTATCGCTTCTATTTTTTTCTTGCAACCACATTACACGCATCAGCGTATTACACACACACACACACACAAGTACATACATAAACACATATGTTAGTATTTGAGCTTTATTTTATTTTCATTACACATTCTAATTTATTATTACTAAGGTTGAGAGTAATTAAATTTCATAGGTAGTTAAGGGCAATAATGTAATTCTAGGAACAATCTTGTAATGTAAATTAAAACGCTGTAAGTGTATCGATAGGTAAGTTAATTATTAAGTTTTACATTATTATTATTAGGTCGGAGCCCAAGGCATTACGTAGGTGGTGGGGTGGGTGCCGAAAGGCCAATGAATTGGGCTCTTGAGTTTTGTAATTTTAGGTAAGCTAGGGCCATAATGTAATGAATAGGTAGGTTAAGGCTACGTTGTAACATACTCATTAATAGATTTAGTGTTTAAGTTTTATATTATTATTACTAAGTTGGAGCCCAAGGCATTACGTAGGTGGTGGGGTGGGTGCCGAAAGGCCAATGAATTGGGCTCTTGAGTTTTGTAAAATTAGGTAAGCTAGGGCTTAATTGTAGTGAATAGGTAAGTTGAGGGTACGATAGCCGATAGACTCTGAATTTTGAAGTCCCTTGTCAGAGGTAAGCTTTGGTGGCCAGTGGTGAACCGGCAATGGTTTACTATCCGGACGGCAATGGTTTACTATCTGCACGGTAATGATTTACCATGCGGCACGGCCATAGTCTACTACCCGCACGGCTTCCGGACGGCAAATGGTTTACTATCCGCACGTCAATAGTCTACTATCCGCACGGCAATGGTTTACTATCCGGTGCCCTGGCTGTCGGTGAACCTCTGTGCAAGGAGGGAGAATGAAGGGGGACTTTCGACTATCGTACCATTAACAATTTAATATATATTGGTTAAGGTGATTGAATAGGTAGATAGGATTATTTTTATTAAGCAATTTGAGATGCAGGCACCGCTAAGCTTTCTGATGAGAATCTTCTCTTTATCTTTTTCCATCAACACGGGCTGTGTTTCAACAACAATCTCGAGGAGGACTGGCACCAGTTTGGGAGGACAACGTAGGAACCGGACCGCATTCAACATTCTGCCTTTGTCGAATGGACGACGGTAAGTTTTTTTACATTTTACTTACTTTATTATTTTAAAATTTTATTTATTTGACATTATTTTCATTTTATAATTTAATTTTTTTTGCTTCTAAGATTCTAACATTCATTTACTACTACGCAAATAAAAAAATTTTGTTTACAGAGTGATGAGAGGTGGGCAGTGGTGGGAGTCAGCACGTTTTAGATGGTGGTCTCATGATGATTTACATATGATGATAGTGGTGTAGGAAGAATCAGCTCGTTGGCTGTTCGACTGACACTCTGAAATTCGGATGGTACTTTGTGTGCCGACCAGATGGTGGTGGTCGGTGCAATGGAAAGTACAGTAACGACGATTTTTGAAGTAAGGTTTAGTTTCGTTTTTTATTTTTCTCATTCGTTCATTTTATCACTCAACCTTTTAAATTATTCTTCTATTAATTGATTCGTTAATTCATTCTATTCATTAATTGAATCATTGATTTATTCATTAATTCATTCATTCACCCATTCATTCATCCAATTATTCAATCATTCAGTTAATCATTTATTCGATCGTTCCTTTGTTCCTTGATTTACTAATACGCTATTAAAAAAATGTCTACAGAATGATGAGAGTTGGGCTGTGGTGGGCATCAGCACGTTTCAGATGGAGATCTCATGATGATCGTTCCAATGACAATTCGAAGATAACAACAACGACGGTTTTTGAAGTATGATTTAGTTTCTTTTTTTTATTTTTCTCATTCATTCATTCATTTTATCACTATCTTTCAAATTATTCCTCAGTTAATTTATTCATTGATTCATTCTATTCATTCATTAAATCATTGGTTGATTAATTAATTAGTTAATTTATTCATTCAACCAATCGTTCAATCATTCAGTTAATCATTTATTCGTTCGTTCCTTTGTTTCTTGATTTACTACTTCGCTAATTAATAAAAACTTGTCTACAGAATGATGAGAGGTGGGCTGTGGTGGGCGTCGGCACGTTTCAAATGGTGGTCTCATGATGATCGTTCCGATAATGTTAAAGGTAAATTTGTTTTTATCTCATTGTACCTTTGAAAGTACTCGAATTTGAACAAAGATTGAGTGTTATCTCAAAAAGATAAGTTGCCTTTTTTTCCAATTGCTTGTTTTTAATTTTAGTGAATTAATTTTTTTTCAATTTATTTTTCAGTATCCGGTCAAATTCATTCCATCGATGCGTGTCAGATGATGGTCGGTGCAATGGAGGTTCGTCGGTAGTGAGTGAAGTTTCTGGAGAGTGCGCGCTCGCACATTTACATACACACATCAATACAACACATACATACACAACATCCATTCATTCGGTGTCGTTGTTGTTGTGTTTCTCTTCAACTTTCTATTTTCTTTACCGTGAACCGGACTTTAATTTAATTCATAGGTAAGTTAGGGACTGAGATGAGTTAAACAATTGTAGGTAGGCTAGGGCTTAACATTAGTTAAAAAGCTTCAAGTAAAATAAAAACACTAAAATATGTTAAATAAAATACTTGAAATATCTAAAACGAGAAATACAAATTTGTAGGTGAGTTGAGTCAATGTTTATAAGTAAGCTAGGGCCCTGAGAGTAATTTTATTATAGGTAGGTGACTGACTTTTATTCTTGCGACTTCTTACTAGTTTTGTGTGATGTGTTTGTTTTCGCTTCACAACACCACACCAACAAAACAAACTACATTTCATTCTCGTCGTCGCCTTAAATTGTACCTTTTTGAACAATCTTTTTAATGTCTATTTATTTATTCATTAAATATTGACTGGTTTCTAGTTTTTTTTAAAAATTGGTTATGTAGTTTTTGGATATTTCTTGATTTACTTTGTATATATGTATAAATATATATGTATAAATTATTTCTGTTTGGTATGTTGATTTAGTCATTATGATGTTGTGAACTGTTCTTACTAAATGTTCATGTTACGTGGTTTATTATCCTTCGAGAACTTCTAAGGAGTATGTATGATAATAATGGATAATAATTATTTTTATCGGTCGATATTTTGTTATATTTATTTATTTAAAATACGAATTTTTAAAAAAAATTGACATTTTAAAATTTTAATTAACCGTTACTTTTCATTTTTGAATGAATTCAAATAAAAGCAACTACTGTGTTTTTCTTTCTTTACTAAAATCTCGAAATTGTTTGTAGATCTGTACGGTTAACTTTGTTCGAGTTTGAACAGGCCTTGCAAATTTTTTTTATTTATGTGTTGGACGATGTAAATATAATATACATACATTCTAGTAGTCATCTCATACTACATTCTAAAAGATAACAATATGAATACCTCAATAATAAACTTTAAATTTTTAAAATAAATATTTAAAAATCAAACAATAATATAAATTAACGAATAATGTCTTGGCTTGATGAACAAAGTATGAAATAACAAATAACCATAAACACACACCCCTAATCTTAACATGATAACAAGTTTTAAAATGTATAAAAAACATGAGTATTAAACGAATAAAATACACTGTATAAAACTGTCTCTAGATAAAACACCTCTAAAATGTAAATCACCATAAAAAGACTTACACATACATGTACATACAAACACATACGCACACAAACACACGCGCGCACACACACATTCATATTCACATGCTGTCATTACACTCTTAAAACTAAAGTAATGTAAAAATATGATTGACAAAATACTTTAAATATTAGATGCTAAAAGTGCTATGGTATACAAACACACACAAACACACACACACACACATACATACATATGTGCATATATTTGGCAGGTATGGAATATTATTAAATAGATTTATGCTGAAGTAACTTCATCATACAGTAATTCTGTAACAAAAAAAAACATTTTAATATTTTTAATAATTTAAAAAAAATTTGAAAAATGATTATAACAGGTGACATAACAAACAAATATTGGATACTAAATGTAAATATATGTGACGAAGTAGCAGTGACCAGATTCAAATGCACGGAAACCCCCTACGTATCAAATCTACCCTCACCAGAGGTATAAATATTAGAGCCCTGAAAAAATCACAAAGAATGATGGTAAATATGGAAGAACAAACAACTTTTCCAAGTCGATAGATCCTTAGTCTCATCTTCGAAACTGGAATCGTAAATCTGCAACTCAGGCTCGTCACTCGGGTCGGATAACTGCTTCAAGAAGGGGTGTGCCAAACATTCACTGGCCAGTATTCTAGTGTCTGGGTCAAGGTCGAACATTTTCTCCAACAAATCTAGAGCTGTGTTTTTTGGTAAATTATCTTTCAAACTTTATCAACTATAAAAAATGTAACAAAATCACACACACACACAAACGCAAGAATAAACGCACACACACACACACACACACACACACACACCTTGCAAATCAGCCCCTGGGAAAACCATTTTAAAATCTTTTTTCTCAGTTCGGGGCAATTGCTGTATGTACGTTTGGGCCTGTTGTATTTATAGCAAATAATTATTCAATAATTATTATTATTATAAAAAACAATAACAATAATAATAATTTGAAAGTAGAAAAAGTCAAAGTTAATCAAAAATTAATTTCATAGAGTTACTTTTCATAAAAGTTTGAATCGGATACACTTAACACACAATGCTATTCGTTCTAATTAGATTTGTCAACTTTTCAGGAGTTTTTCACAAAAAGTTAACTTATAACACTCAACTATGAATTAAATGAAAATTTCATGAAGAGAAATACATGTAAGAGAGAGAGAGAGAGGGAGATAGAGAGAAAGAAAAGAAGATAAAAATCGAACAGTGAAAATGGGAGAGTGGGACAGAAAACGTCACAGTAAAAAAGTAAAAAAAAAAAAATTTTTAAACTACAATTGCTGACAAACTAACATCTTCACTCGTCATTTTATTCAAAAGCTCTTTGGAGGGTGTACCCAGAAGACCAAAGATACAATTTATGTGCTGGATGCCTAATTGGTGCAGTAAAAATTGAAATATACACACAGATGCGCCGCATGCAAACAAACAAACAAACAATTATTGCGTTAGAAGCTTAATTATTAAAAATTGAAAAATACAAAATACACGTACACACACAAACACACGTACACACACAAACACACGTACACACACAAACACACGTACACACACAAACATACTATCTTCACTCTTAAATAAGACTTGATTTGTTAGTAGTTCAGCCAGTATACAGCCTGTAGACCAGACGTCAACTGAGTATCAAAAAAAAAAAAATTTTCCAAAAATTATCACAAAAATAAAAAAAATATAATTAAATAATATCACAATAAGTAATTATATTTAGAATTATAAAAATTACACTTTAAATTATTAAATACAGCGATGAAAAAGCTATCAAGAAACAATCAAATAACGTGTTCTTGGTTAATGTAAAAATATTTAAAGTAACACTAGTAGAAATGACCATTGGGCTTGTAATGCATCCAGTTAAATAAGATCTCAGGTGCCCTGTAGGAGCGTGCCACAACGTACGGAGTCAGGTCTAAGTTCTCTTTCATGTTGATCTGCCTTGATAGGCCAAAATCCAATATCTGAATGATGATTGGTCGGTTTAAATTAAGTGGGTGATTCCTTATTGGTGGAAAGAGATCGGAATGGTGATTTTGATTGGCTGATTTTCATTGCGTGCGTGATTGTGGGTAGAAGGTTGAGCAGTTCTGAGTGGATTATTTTTATTGGTTGTTGAAGGTTGATTTTGATTGGGTGACTGATTGTGATTTGAATGACTGGATAATTTGATAAATGATTAATTGAGTGAATAGTTGAGTGACTGATTGGCTAAAAGTGAAATCAATCACATAAAATAACCTTTATCTCGAAATTGTTATTCACAGCGATGTTACTTGGTTTGAGATCCTAGGTGATTAAAATTATCAAATCCAGACAACAACTATTATAACATTAACAACAACAACAACAACAACAACAACAACAACAACAACAACAACAATAATAATAATAATAAACAATATAATTAATAATAAAAAAAATAATAAATTACCCTGTGCATTATGCCCCCGGAATGAAGGTACTTCAGAGCCCGAAGTATTTGGTATGTTACAAGTTTTGCCTGCTCGATAGACAGTCTGTAGTGGTCCAGGAGTTTTCTCAGATCTTGATCCATCAATATACTGACCATGTAGCTGTGATATGGTGTGGCGTTGTGTGGTTGGGTTGGGGTGATATTTGTGGTGGAAAGTGCCTAGCAATGGGTGATGTGGTGAGTAGCAAGAGTTAGGATCAGGATTGGGAGATGTTTATGGTGTTGTTGGTGTGGTTATTATTGTTTTCTGTGTCCTTTATTTACATAGATGTCGTTGATAGCGTATTACCATTATTCATATTAGTGTGATTAAATGTAGGAAATGTAGGAAAGAACGTACATTTCAGAAAATGACGTCAAGCTATCGTTTGGAGAAAATAAATCCACCAGAGATATAATCTGAAGTTTTAAAAAATAAAAAAACAATTAGAGATAAACAGACACACATACAGACAGACAGACAGACACACACACATACAGACAGACAGACAGACATGTGTGCCCTTAAAAGAGAAATACAAACATACAAGCAATCAAACAGTCAACCCCAAAAGAACTAACATTCTCATGATTGAGATATCTTAGCAGTTTTATCTCTCTATAAACTCTTTTGGCATGATCTGGAGAAAGAAAGGGCTCTTTGATTTTTTTAATGGCAACTGTGCAGTTTAATTTGTGGCTTCTTGCTGTACTAAAATAGAAAATAATTTAGTCAAATTAATAATTTTTATTACTGATAAGTATTATTACTATTTTTTTATAAATAGCATAAAACTAAGTGAACCTAACTAACCACACTTGGCCAAATGCTCCTGATCCTAAATACTGCAGATCATTGTAATAATCAGGTACTGTCCAGACACTGTTTGCAAACACTTGACGTTTGAATCCACTTTTAATCATTTTTTATTGAATAAAATATAAAACCAAACACCTGAGACTTTGTTTTTTGTGGGTTTTTTGGCAAACTTTTTTTTGGAACAGGATTTTTTGAGATGAAAAATGTTTATGTAGCCTTTGATTTTGTTTGTTCTTTGTTGAGAATTGCAACTTTATACAAATGTTAACCAGAAAGCTTTTAATTTAATATTTAATATCTCGATTACACCATTGACTGGTTGATTGAATGGTTGATTGAATGATTGGTTGATTGATTGTATTGTAGTATGTAGTAGATTAGTGTTCCAGAATTGATTGATTGGTTGTGCAGACAAAACTAAAAAAAATTATATAAAAAAGCAAAAAATAAATAAAAAAATTTAATTTCTTTAATTAAAAATGACTTATTTACGTGGTTCGATCAAATTAACTTCATTATTACATTTCATTTTCAAACAATCCGATCTAAAAACATCTCATTCTCGCCAGACATATTGTGTTAAAACAGAACTTAAGTTTAGACAGAAATAAAATCCAGGTAAATGATCGGAATTACCCAAAAAACCTAAATCGAGATAAGGTAAATTGTGACATTTTTGCTGGACGAAACTTCGTTTTAGTATAGTTCGTAGTTAGTTAGTTGGAAAAAAATACATAAAGTGAATTTATTTTGGCAAATTCACAAATACCAAACGATAAAAAGAATCATTTATTTATAAATGTTACTACAAATCGTAAAAAATTAAATAAATAGTATTTTAAGTCGATTTATTGAATATTGAATGTATATTGTTGTTAAATAATTTATAATTGCCTTGAACAAGATGCACGAAAAAGGAAAGATGCCCGTTTGAAAAAAATTAATACAGTTTTGTACTGGAGAGAACAATGCCGACATAATGATATTTAATATCATTCATTCATCCATCCATCTATTCATTCTTTCATTCATTACTGTAAATTTCATTCCTTCATTCATTTGTTCATCCATCAAATTCATTCGTTTATTCATTCATTCCTTCTTTCTTTCGTTCATTTATTCATTCGATAATTCAATTCACCTATATTTTTGATTCATCTACAATTACCAAACACTACACACGTAATAGATATTTTTTCACTAATTACATCACAAATCCGTGTAGGAGTTCCTCTTCATTTTGAAGAAGCCATCATCAGTTGGACACTCACGAACTGTAACGACCAACCTGTCGTAAGTTACGTCAGTGATGCTGACGTTATCTAGGAGAAATTTCGTGCATTTCGAGTTTAAATATGTTGGTAAATCGAAATCGTCGGAGCTTTTAGCGATTTTTCCGCCGTTCGATTGCAATGTTTTGCCGAGTTGGCTTTCTAACATTGGATTGCTGCTGGTGCCGCTGCTGCTGTTGTTTGTGGCTGAAAGTTGCTCCTGACGATGATGACGATGGTGATGAGTCGGTTTAAGTCGAGTCGGTAGAAACGGTTCGAATGATTTACGAGTTTTTGCTTCCGTATTGATGAAATTTTTTCTTCCTTTGTTTATTTTTCTCTTCATTTTCGTTCTCCACTTTTTTGCAGATGGGGCGACTTTTTTCAACCTTATGATGCTTCTGTAAGCCTCCTCCATATCACCGTCCTCAACGATCTTGTTGTTGTAGTTGCTGTTGTTGTTGTTATTGTTGTTGTTGCTGTTGTTGTTGTTGTTTTCAGAAGCGTCTATAATACTGTTATTATTTCGGTCAACGGTGCTATTAGTATTGTTATTAATGTCGGCGTTATTATTGTTGTTATTATTATTACTGTTGTTTTTGTTGTTGTTGTTCGTATTAATATTGTTGTTGTTGTTAACGTTATTATTGTTGTTGTTGTTGGGATAACGCGATGACATTAGCTTTCGTTTCTTATTAGCAAGTCCACCGCAACCACTGTTATTGTTGGAAATTTTTCTTGCTTTAGAGATTTGCTTGCGTGAATTTGACGCTATCGATTTTGCCCTGATGTCGAAAGTGACGTCATAACTGACGTCATCATCGTCGTCGTCGTCGTCGCTTTCAGAGCTGATGAAAAATTCGCTCTCGGCAATGGCTGTTGATTCATCGTTATGTGTTCTTGCTTGAAAGGACGACGATGACGATTGCTGTTGTTGTTGTTGTTGTTGCTGCTGCTGCTGCTGCTGCTGATGATGATGATGATGGTGGTGGCGGTAATGTTGATGAGGTGATTGTGATGAAAATGATATCGATAGTGACGATGACGACGACGACGACGATGATGAATCGTAATCTAATCGGTGCTGTCTGACTGACGTTACTGATCGGTGGTGTCGCTGCTGTTGTGGCTTCTTTGGCGGTAGTGGTGGTGGCGGTGGTGGTGGTGGTAGTGGCGGCGGTGGTGGCGGTGGTGGTGGTGGAGAAGTAAATTCATTTTGTTATTTGAATGTAGTTGGTTTAGATTAGAAATAAGGAAAAGAAAGAAAAAATGGAAAATTGAAAAAGGAGAATGAATGAAGAATGAGAGAGGGGGAGAAAAAGAGAGATAGATCGAGAAAGAGAGAGAGAGAGAAAGAAAAAGAGAGAGAGAGTAAGTGAGAGGGAGAGATAAATCATTAAAAAAGTTAATTGAAAAACCTTCAATGCTTTTCCCTTTCTCAAAGTTTGGTCTTCCGATCTATAATAAAAATAATATTAATAATAATATTAATAATAATAATGATAATTATTATTATTATAAATATAATTATCGTTGTTTTGTAATGGTGGTAGCAGTAATAGTAGTAGAATTTTAGTAGTTGTGGTAACAGTTGTTGATGTAGCGGCATAGTAGCATAGCAGCAGATGTAGTAGTAGTTGTTGTTGTAGAAGAAAGTTCGTTTTTACTCCTTCATTCAATTCGTTTTTGTTCATTCAGTTATTCAGCTATTCATTCAGCTGTTCATTCGTTTGTTCGTTCGTTCGTTCCTTCATTCATTCATTTATTCGTTCATTCATTAACTAACTTTAGCAGAAAGGTTTCTATAAGTCGTTGGTCGAGTATATTACATTCCGGTTCCCATGTATTAAACCTGTATTATTAATTATAACAATATTTATTATTATTAGTTATATTATTATTAATAATTATTATTATTATTATCACACACACACACAAACACACACACAAGTACAATATATTTGTTGTGATGGTTTTCAATCCCACAATAACCAAGCGATAATATTGGGTTACTTGTGGTAAAACAATCTACATAACGAACGATGTTTAAACAATTTGTGGTGATGAAGATGATGACGACAACGAAGATGATGATGGTGGTGGGGAAGATGATGAAGATGATGAAGACGACGAAGATGATGATGGCGATGATGGTGGGGAAGATGACGACGACTGTGTTTCACTCACTTGCTACTCCAGTCTTGCCATTTTACTAAGTATTCAACTTTCCCCTGTAACATAAATTTTGAAAAAAAAAACATAAAATTGTATATATATGCATATACATGCATACATACATACATACAAACAAATATACATACCTACAAACATACAAACATGCAAACAAACAAACATACACACTTTTCTTTTTCGACTTTTAACGATGTATTCTGCTGCATATACTTGGTCATCATTTCCCATAGAAGTCATGATGATGATGATGATGTGGTTGTTGACGCTGCTGCTACTGCTGCTACTTCTGCTGCTGCTGCAGCTAATGATGATGATAGTGATGCTGAAGATGATGATGACGACGACAATGGTTAAGAAATTTTTGACGCTGATAACGAACTAATCTGCTTTGGTTCTGCTGGTTATGTAGACGACAATGATGATGACGATGATGAAGAAGACGATGATGAGGAAGAAGAAGAAGAAGAAGATGATGATGATCGTTAGCCCTCTACAAAGTCATTATTTAGTTGGATAGTCATGTTATTTTCCTGGCCTTTTATGTGTCTCCGATGAATAAAACATTGCGCTCTGTTCATTTGAATTTGTTGTTGTTGTTGATGTTGTTGTTGATGATGTTGATGTTGATGTTGTTGTTGTTATCATTGAAGATGTTGTTGATTCTGTTGTTGATGCTTTTTCGTTGGTTCCGTTGTTGGCGTTAATATAGGCCACACATTAAAGTTTCTGCAAAAACATCAGCATCACCATCAACAACAATAACATCAGCAACAACAACAACAACAACAACATTGACGACAACATCAATAAATCAAACATGGCTTGCCTTTATTGCTTTCGTAAGAATTTCATATTTAGTATTGAAACGGCAACAATAACAACATAAACATCAACAACAACAACAGCAATAACAATAATAATAGTAAATACATCAACAACAACAAAAACATGAACAATAATAGTTTTTGTTATTATCATTATTTCTGAATAGAGTGCATGTTTGAGAAAAATTCCTTTCAGATGTTGAACAAATTTAAAAAACCGCCCAAAAACTCTTCCAACTAAAACACAAACAAACACACAAATATACATACATGCATGTACACACACACACACACATACATACATACATACATACATACATACATACATACACACGCATACATACACATACAAACAAAAAACACAACACGAACTTACATAATAAATGGCATCACATAGATTAATGTATAAACAGTTTTTAACAATACACAACGAAAAAAAAATTATAGGTTCTTATTAATATACATATAAACACACACACACATACACCACACACAAACAGACACACACACAAACAAACATACAAAAACATACAAACCTTAACTCTACCAAGAACAGAAAGAGA